AGCTTATGTTATTGTGTAGGCTATAGTGGGGTATCCCATAGGGGGTACAACCCAACTAGGGTTTCATATTTGTACTCGCTTCATTCATAGTTCACCATCATTCTCTCATTTTCACATGGAATCAGAGCAGGTCCCCTCCTAGGGACTGTTCCTAGGGCCCACCGAAGCGCGCCTCGAGTCGCGCTCTCTCCTTTTTTTTTCTAGCGGCCCGTCGTGCCGCCCTTACGGTCGCGTCGAGCCGCCCTAGTGGCCCCGCCGCCCTACCTAGCGGCCCCGCCGCCCTACCTAGCGGCCCCGCCGCCCTACCTCGCAGCCTCGCTGCCCCATTGCGCGGCCCCGCCGCCCTACCTAGCGGCCCCGTCGCCCTTCCTCGCGGCCCCGCCGCCCCATCGCGCGGCCCCGCCACTCTACCTCGCGGCCCCGCCGCCCTACCTCGCGGCCCCGCCACTCTACCACGCGGCCCCGCCGCCCTATCTCGCGGCCCCGCCGACCTACCCAGCAGCCCCGCCGCCCTTCTGCAGCGGCCCCGCCGCTCCTCTGCAACGGCCCCGCCGCCCTACCCAGCGGCCCCGCCGTCCTTCTGCAGCGGCCCCGCAGCTTCTCTGCAGTGGCCCCGCCGCCCCATCGCGGCCCCGCCGCCTCATCGCGCGGCCTCGCCGCCCTATCTAGCGGCCCCGCCGCCCTTCCTCGCGGCCCCGCCGCCCCATCGCGCGGCCCCGCCGCCCTACCTAGCGGCCCCGCCGCCCTTCCTCGCGGCCTCGCCGCCCCATCGCGCGGCCCCGCCACTCTACCTCGCGGCCCCGCCGCCCTACCTCGCGGCCCCGCCACTCTACCACGCGGCCCCGCCGCCCTATCTCGCGGCCCCGCCGACCTACCCAACGGCCCCGCCGCCCTTCTTCAGCGGCCCCGCCGCTCCTCTGCAACGGCCCCGCCGTTATTCTGCAGCGGCCCCGCCGCTTCTCTGCAGCGGCCCCGCCGCCCTATCTAGCGGCCCCGCCGCCCTCTCTACAACGGCCCCGCCGCTCCTCTGCAGCGGCCCCGCCGCCCTACTTCAGCGGCCCAGCCGAGCCGCCCAGCAGCAGAGCAGCCGAGCCGCCCAGCAGCAGAGCAGCCGAGCCGCCCCGCCGCCGAGCCGCGCTGCAGCCGAGCCGCCCGGCCGCCCACCAGCCGAGCCGCCGTGCAGCCGACCGCCCAGCCGCCGAGCCGCCCAGCTGCCGAGCCGCCCAGCCGCCGAGCCGCCCAGCTGCCGAGCCGCCCTGCAGCCCAGCCGCCCGAGCAGCCCTGTCCGGTGAGCACAGACCCTCTATCACTGCGTGCCCTTCCCCTACTGCTTGCACTGCTGGTCTCCTACTGTCATGGCTACCCCTAGTGTCCTCGCTTTTGACGCTGAGGGTCGGGCCGTTGACTTTGAGGTCTGGGTAGACGACCTGCAGCTGTTCTTACAGTGCGATAGGGCAGACGGCCTCTCTCTCTTTGACCTTACCTCTAGAGCTTCCCCTGCCCCTGCTGCTGATGCTGACGCCACTGTTCGCTCCCAGTGGGCCACGCGCGACGCTGCTGCACGTCTTGCTGTGCGTCGTCACATCCCTACCTCCGAGCGTGCGCAATTTAGTCAGTACAAGAGTGCTCAGACATTGTACGACGCTGTAGTCGCGCGCTACTCCTCCCCTTCCACTGCTCCACTGAGCCGTCTCATGCTGCCGTACCTCTTCCCTGACCTTGCTGCCTTTCCCACCGTTGCTGACCTCATTACGCACCTCCGCACTAGTAACACTCGCTACCGCGCTGCACTTCCTGCTGACTTCTGCACCACGAACCCCCCCCCCCCCCCATGTACATCACTCTGTACTTCCTAGTCACTCGCCTCCCTGACTCCCTTCGAGTAGTCACGGACCACTTTCTCTCAGTCTGTCCCACCACACTCACTGTAGACCTCCTCGAGAAGGCCCTCCTCGCGATAGAGAAGAGCATTATCGCTGTAGGAGCCTCTCGAGGTGACCCGCGCACCCCCATCTTTGAGGGGTGTTCTCCCTCCCCCCTGTTGCCCTATGTTGCCTCTGCTGCTGCGGCCGACCTCCTTGGTCTTGAGTTGGTCGGTGCGGCGTCTGCCCCTAGCGGGAGACGCCGCTCTGGCAAGGGCAAGGGGGGCAAGGGAGTTGGAGGAGCGGGCTGTGGAGGTGGAGGTGGAGGCAGTGGGGGGAGTGGGGGTGGCGGTGGAAGTGGAGGTGGGGGTGGGGGGGTCGGTGGCGGCAGTGGAGGCGGAGGCGGCGGCGGCGGTGGCGGTGGTAGCGGAGGTGGCGGAGGAGGCGGCGGTGGAGGCGGCGGTGGAGGCGGCGGCGGCAGTGGAGGCAGCGGAGGCGGTGGAGGCGGTGGGGGTGGCGGTGGAGCTGGTCGCGGGTCTTCGCAGAGGAGTGGCTCAGGTGGTGGCTCGCGCCAGCAGCAGCAGCGTGGTCGTGCGACCCTGTCCCCTCAGCAGCTCCGTGAGTGGTACACTGGACGCCAGCGAGGTGGGGGTTTTGGTCCGTGCACCTACGTCCTGCGCACCGGCGACCGTGCGGGTGAGAAGTGTGGGGGTGCGCACCCCACTCCGCGCTGCTTTGGCCGCCTGACGGACGCGTGGCGTCACCAGTTCCCGGAGGCCTCTGAGATCCCTCGCTGGGACGAGCTGTCTAGGGCGGGGGTTGCCATCTTTGATCTTGACTTTGATGCTATTCTCTCTGCCATGTATGCTGTGTCTCATAGTGATGAGGGTGACAGCTACCGCTGTTTCCCGCCCGATCCGGGCATTGAGGCTGCTGCCCTAGGTGCTTGCGACGCTGCTGCTCTAGGTGCTAGTGTGTCTGCGTCCTAAGGTACTGGTGAGTCTGCGCTCTCAGGTACTACGCCGGCTTCGGCCTCCCTCACCTTCACTCTTGACTCTGGGGCGTCTCGCTCCTTCTTACGGGACCGCACCACACTCACGCCGCTTAGTTGGCCGGTTGCGGTGTCTCTGGCTGACCCCTCCGGGGGTCCCGTACTGTCTCGCTTCTCCACAGTCCTCCCGTGTCCGGCGGCTCCCTCTGGCGCCCTGTCTAGTCTCTACCTCCCCTTGTTCTCGACGAACCTGGTGAGTGGTGCTGACCTATAGGATGGGGGAGTACACCAATTCACTCCTGCGGGTCAGCGGCTGACGCACTGTACAGAGGCTAGCACAGGCCGGCACCTGGCTACGTTTACCCGTCAGCCGGGGTCGAGCCTGTACACACTGACCACTGCGCCTCCTCCCGTTACTGAGTCTGGTAGAGTCGCTTCGTCCGGTCAGGTGTTTGCTGCAGCGTCCAGGTCTGGTCCTGAGTCTGCCCCCTGTTCGTGTCGTCTCTTGTCTCATGAGACTCTCCTCTGGCACCACAGTCTTGGTCATCCCTCTCTGCTTCGGCTCAGAGGCATGGCCTCCCGTCTTCTTGTGTCTGGTCTCACCCGGTCCCTCCCTCCCCTTCCTCAGGGCCCTGGCCCTACCTGTGTCCCCTGTGTCGAGGTGCGCCAGCGGGCTGCCCCTCACTCCTCCCAGTTTCCTCCGACAAAGGCCCCGTTGCAGACGCTTCACATGGACATGCGGGGCCCAGCCCGCGTCCGTGGACAGGGTCACGAGCGCTACTTCCTGCTCGTTGTTGACGACTACTCGCGTTACACCACGGTCTTCCCCTTGCGCAGCAAGGGTGATGTCACTGAGGTGCTGATCGACTGGATCCGCGCGGCTCGTCTCCAGCTCAGGCGGAGCTTTGGCTCGGACTTCCCTGTTCTGCGTCTGCACTCGGACAGAGGCGGAGAGTTTTCCTCTGGCCTACTGCGAGCCTACTGTCGCGCACGAGGCATCCGTCAGACCATCACGCTTCCGGACTCACCGCAGCAAAATGGGATTGCTGAGCGCCGCATTGGCATGGTCATGGACATCGCTCGTACGTCCATGATGCATGCGGCTGCCCCCCATTTTCTGTGGCCGTTTGCGGTGAGGTACGCGGCGCATCAGATCAACCTCCACCCCAGGGTCTCCAGGTCGGAGACTTCCCCAGCCTTGCTGTGGACGGGGAAGGTTGGCGATGCGTCGGCGTTCCGGGTCTGGGGATCTCGGGCGTTTGTCCGCGACTTGTCTGCGGACAAGCTGTCCCCTCGTGCTGCTCCCTGTGTCTTCCTGGGGTTCCCCCCTGACGCGCCTGGGTGGCAGTTCTACCACCCCACCTCTCGACGTGTTCTGTCCTCCCAGGATGTCACGTTTGACGAGTCGGTCCCCTACTACCACCTCTTCCCCTACCGCACTCCGTCCCTCCCCCCACCCCCGCTCTTCCTTGTACCAGGTCCCCTCCAGGTAGACCTCCTCCCCCCTCAGGGTCCTGCCCCTTCAGGTGTGTCCCAGGTAGACGCAGTCGAGCCTGTCGAGGTCACTGGTGTCTCTGGTGCTGCTGGGGGTGCTGAGCCTGGGGGTGCTGGACCTGGGGGTGCGGAGTCTGGGGGTGCTGAGCTTGGGGGTACTGCGTCTGGGGGTGTTGAGCCTGGGGGTGCTGAGCCTGGGGGTGCTGAGCTTGGGGGTGCTACGCCTGGGGGTGCTGAGCTTGGAGGTGCTACGCCTGGGGGTGCTGAGCTCGGACTCTCTTCGTGCTGCCAGTCCTACTGTCACGCGTCTCCTTGCTACTGTTGTCACTGACCCTTCTTTCGAGTCTACTGCTGCGTCTGCTCTCGTTACTGAGCTCGTCGACTTTGCTGCTCGCTGTCGCTTAGACTACGCAGCTAGTCTTGTCGCTAAGTCTGAGTCTGCCTGTCCTCCGTCCGTCGGGGGTGAGTGTGCCCTTGGCACAGACGTCCTTGAGGACAGGCAGGAGGAGTTCCAGTGTCTGGCGGCTGCTTCACCTCATCTCGTGTCCGTACTGCTTACCCCTGAGGGAGACCCGGATGCACTTGACATCCCGACTCCGCGCTCTTACGCGGAGGCGATAGAGGGTCCCTACTCCTCTTAGTGGCAGGTAGCTATGGATGCAGAGATGGCTTCCTGGAAATCCACAGGCACCTACGTTGACACTGTCCCCCCTCCTGGGGCGAACATCGTCAGTGGCATGTGGATTTTCAGGGTGAAGCGGCCGCCGGGTTCTCCGTCTGTCTTCAAGGCGCGTTACGTGGCTCGTGGCTTCAGTCAGCGGCAGGGAGTTGACTACTTTCAGACCTTCTCCCCCACCCCGAAGATGACCACTCTTCGGGTACCGCTGCACATTGCTGCTCACCGTGACTACGAGCTCCACTCTCTCGACTTCAGCACAGCTTTCTTGCAGGGCAGCCTGCACGAGGAGATATGGCTGCGCCGCCCACCTGGCTTCACTGGGTCTTTCCCTCCTGGTACCCAGTGGAGTCTCCGGCGTCCAGTCTACGGTCTCCGCCAGGCGCCACGTGAGTGGCACGACACACTGAGGACTACACTTGCGGCTCTTGGGTTTGCTCCTTCTACTGCCGACCCGTCGCTGTTTCTGCGCACCGACACCTCTCTGCCACCGTTCCACATCCTTGTGTACGTCGACGACTTGGTCTTTGCCACAGCTGACACTGCTGGACTCGCCTACGTGAAGTCCGAGCTGCAGAAGCGACACACGTGCACAGACCTGGGTGAACTGCGCAGCTACCTTGGCTTGCAGATCACCCAGGACAGAGCACGCCACACCATTACCCTGACTCAGTCACACATGGTGCAGCAGGTCCTTCAGCGCTTCGGCTTCACGTACTCCTCGCCTCAGGCCACTCCTCTGCCTACTCGCCACTCACTCTCAGCTCTGCCTTCAGATGAGTCCGTAGAGTCGAGTGGCCCATATCCAGAGCTTGTTGGCTGCCTCATGTACCTGATGACCTGCACACGACCTGACCTTGCATACCCTCTTAGCATTCTTGCATGCTATGTTGCTCCTGGGAGACACCGACCAGAGCACATGGCTGCAGCGAAGAGGGTGTTGCGCTACTTGTGCAGTACGTCGGGCATGGGGCTAGTGCTTGGAGGGCGGAGTCCAGTGGTCCTCACTGGGCACGCGGACGCTTCTTGGGCTGACGACCAGGCTACGCAGCGGTCGTCACAGGGTTACACCTTCAGTCTTGGTTCCGGCTCTGTTTCGTGGCAGGCTACCCGCTCGTCTTTTGTTCTCGGCTCCAGTTGTGAGGCTGAGATCTACGCCGGGGCTATGGCTGCCCAGGAGCTTCGCTGGCTCACCTACCTGCTGACCGACCTTGGAGAGCCGCCTTGTTCTCCTCCAGTCCTGTACGTAGACAACAAGGCCATGCTGGCCTTGTGTCGAGAGCAGCGACTGGAGCACAGGACAAAGCACATTGCTCTCCGTTACTTTCTTGCTCGTGAGCTACAGCAGCGTGGACAGTTGCGGCTTGCGTACGTGGCCTCTGAGGCCAACACTGCTGATGTTTTCACCAAGGCACTTGCGCCTTGTGATCATCAGCGCTTCTGCACTCAGCTGGGTCTTGTGCCTGTCTTGCCTCACTTGCTCACTTCTTGACCTTGCTTGTACTGTCACATATATATACTCCTGCTCTTGGTTGCTTAGCCTCGTATATATATATATATATATGTGCTCTTGCATGTGAACTGGCCTTTTGGCCTTTGTACTTGTGCTCGGAATGTGTGGTGACTTTGTGATCCACCCTGAGCTTTGCTTTGCTTTGCTTGACTGGTCTTGTGACCCCTTGTTCTCCCCAACTTTGCCTATGGGGGTGTGTCAGAACATTTTAGCTTATGTTATTATGTAGGCTATAGTGGGGTATCCCGTAGGGGGTACAACCCAACTAGGGTTTCATATTTGTACTCGCTTCATTCATAGTTCACCATCATTCTCTCATTTTCAAAGAAGTTGATCGAGTGGTGAAGGAAAAAAAAAATCATTCCCGTGTGTTTGGGTTCTATGCACAGGATGCATTTGCCCTCGAATCTTTGTCAGCATGCACGACAACGACAAAAAACCCCTTGTGCGAGACGAAGTCTACTATATATACCCACGCACACGATTGAATTTCATAACGGAGAAGTTGATTGCGTGCTGACCGAGGAAAAACAAATCATTCTCATATGTTACGCATCTTTCTCAGCATGCACAACAAAGGAAAAACACCTTGTGCGGGATGAGATTGTACTTTACATACCCAAGCACACAATGGCGTTTCATCACGGAGAAGTTGATCGCGTGCTGACCGAGGAAAAAAAATCATTCCCATGTGTTTGGGTTCTCAAACACAGGATGCATATGCCCACGCAACGTAGAGTCCGTGAACACTATACGCGGAACTTGTCAGTAGATCTGCACTGTGGATGCCCGATTGATCCTGGAGAGGGTTACAGGCGCGTTCGCCTGGGGGGTTATGGGCGCACTGACCCGCTACTGAAACAAGCTCTTTTATCCCAATGGTCTAGTGGTTGGGATTCTGACATGGTATCAGAGCGGTCTCGGGTTCGATTCCCGGTGTATGCACATGTAGGCCGGTGCCGCTGTGCTTAGTCCTGGGCCTCCTAGTGTGGGGGGGTGTCAGTAGATCTGCACTGTGGATGCTCGATTGATCCTGGAGAGGGTTACAAGCGCGTTCGCCTTGGGGGTTATGGGCGCACTGACCCGCTACTGAAACAAGCCCTTTTATCCCAATGGTCTAGTGGTTGGGATTCTGACAGAACTGCTGCGAACGAGAGTCTGAACATGCCCACACGACGCAATTTTTCTTACGCGGAACATGCGTTTCCCGTTGTGCAAATCGGTGGTGAGTGGTTACGAGCCGTCGGGACCCTTTCCGTACGGTGCGGAGGCGTTTCGCACCACGTCCTTGCATTTGCCCGCCGTTGTCGGATCACGCCAACGCAACGGACGAAAACGAACATTTGTCAACGTACAAACGACAATAAAAATTCGTGTGCAGACTGTACACACACCTCCTCAAATAGTTTTTGCCTCACCAAATCATGCTTCAAAGGGCAATCTTTAGGAGTAGAAGAAAATTTAGATGAATTTCTTTACACCACATGGGTATACAACTGTAGCATGATATTTTCATGCCTGACACCGTTGTCCCATCCCATGCTCATGCGCATGTTGTTTTTGGAACACACTCATGCTGTAACTGTCCGCGTTATCTTGCCCGTACACGCACAAATTCTGGACAACCAGTGGCGCAGATTGTGTTCGTGCGCAGAACTTGTTAGCCCCACGCGCAACTTTTGTTGCCACATGTGACGCGCGTGCACCTGGCTGGTCGTGTACAGCGCACCTTGTCAACGTGCTCGACAAATACTGTACACGCTGCATTCATCATCGCATTGGGATGCTGGCATATGACATTCGCAAAAGATACGGTATATTTTTCGGTACACGGAACTTCTCCTCGACAAGCATTTTTCCTGCGGACGATGTTTTTTACACCTTTCCACGAGCAACACCACATGCATCAGTGGCGTCATTTTCATGTCTGACACCATTGTACAGCGTTTGTCACCCCCAAGATAAATGATTACCTCGCGCATTCACACATTCAGTACTCGCAACTTTTACACGTCCTTTTTACACGTGCAAACGCTTTGTATGGTAGGGACTTTTAACCCTGTGCGAATCGTGTCTTAGGTGTGCTAACATGGGTCAGGGAAATTTATTTGTTAAGCACAGGATCCTTTTTACCTTGTGCACGGGGTGAGCCTTTGCGCATTCTTATCTGTTGGGTTTGGAAACCTTTGCAGCAGTTTTAAACGACAAATACATCGTGTGCATACCTACACCTCGTCTGAAGCGTGATCTGTCGCACGACAAAAAACCTACACGTACTTTCCCACAACAACAAAAATATACTCGCGAGCATATATTTTCGTATTCGTCAGAGGCGTAATCGGTTGCGTGACGAGAAATGTGCTGCCCACGACAAAAATTCTCTCACGCAGACGCAGTTTCTTTTGAGTGTACACGAAGACAACAAGATATAACCGTATGCACACATCACCTCGTCGTCACATGCATGATCTGCTGCATGACGCCAATTGTGCAAACGAAGTTCTTGAGAAAACTGAAACGAGAATGAATGAACTATGAATGAAGTGGGTACAAGTACTAACCCTAATTGGGTTGTACCCCCTATGGGATACCCCACTACAACCTACACAAAAGCATAAGCTATAATGTTCTGACACACCCCCATAGGCAAAGTGGGGGAGAACAGGGGGTCACAAGACCAGTCAAGCAAAGCAAAACAAAGCAAAGCTCAGGGTGGATCACAAAGTCACCACACATTCCGAGCACAAGTACAAGGCCACAAGGCCAGTTCACATGCAGGAGTACATATATATATAAGGCTAGACAAGCAAGAGCAGGTATATATATATGTAACAGTACAAGCAAGGTCAAGAGGTGAGCAAGTGAGGCAAGACAGGGACAAGACCCAACTGAGTGCAGAAGCGCTGATGATCACAAGGCGGAAGTGCTCCTTTCCTTACACCTCGTTTGTCGGATCCATCATGTATGCCATGGTGGGTTCCCGTCCCGACCTCGCATATAGCGCTGGAGTTCTTGCTCGTCACCTTCATGATTGGTCTACTCCTCACGTCTCGGCTGCCAAACGCGTTGCTCGCTACTTGAAAGGGACTACCTCACTCGGGCTTCTCCTTGGCGGCATTCCCAACACCCTTGAACTTCATGGGTGGTGTGACGCCTCTTGGGGACCGGAGGGCGAGCTCCGACGCTCCGTTACGTGCTACTTGTTCTTCCTCGGTCCGTCACTCATCTCTTGGCAGTCCAAACGTCAAGCTGTCGTCGCTATCTCTTCATGTGAAGGTGAATACTATTCTCTGGGCGCCGCGGTGCATGAGGCCTTATGGCTTCGATCCCTCCTAACTGCACTTGGACTTCCCCCACCCGGCCCCACCCGCATCTCGTGTGACAACAGCAGCGCCATCATTCTGGCGAAGGACGACGGCGTCTTTCATCCCAAGGCCAAACACATCGACATCAAGCACCATTTCATCCGTGATCATGTCGCCGACCACTCCGTCACCCTTCACTATGTTCCTACTCAAGACAACCTCGCTGACATGGGCACCAAACCTTTGCCCCGTGACCCTTTTCTTTGCATCCGTGGTCTTCTCGGTCTCACCCATGTCTCCGCTTGAAGGACCCTACCCCGAGGACATCCTTGAGGGGGGGTGTTGTGCAGCAAATATGTCCCAGAGGGTAGATTCTCACCTGTAGTCTTAGAGGTTGTGGGTTCAATTCTCAGTAGCTGCAGGCTCCCTTCTCATTATGCTCCACATTACATGTCCACACTCTACCACACTCCACCACAATGAAGTGTGGTCACAGTTGGCATTGCCACCTGTCCACTCATCCCACACTCACCTTGCTGGCCTCTATGGTGTGCCATATGCTGTCATGTGGGCTGTTGTTCCAGCCTGGCCCACATGTGCAATATGTGGCCTCACTTGCTAGCTTGGCAAGGTTGGCTAGCCTAGCCCTCAGCATTGAGGTGCTGCAGCTAGCCTCAAGAGTTCAGCCACATATATGTGGCTTCCCACTTCATTAGGAAGTATCCTTGACAAGGACCTTGCTCTAGTCTTTAAGACTTGTACCATTTTCTTGCTAAGGAGATTTCTTCTTCCTATCGTGCCCTAAGTTCACCGATCCACTTTCTTCAGTGCCTTACAGCGTTGAGAGAAGTTTGAGGTTGCCTATTGTTGGAGGGAGTTGGCCCGTGAGGTTGTTCTGGCTGACGTCACTGCAATGGATGGAAACAGATAAAAGACAGAATAGAAACAGTCAAAGCATTGCTAACAAGATACCTAACCGTGCATACATGCAAGAGATTTTACCTATACAGGGTTCGAAACACAAAGGAATAAACCAAAGATTGGTTGATGTTAGGAGACAGTCAGAGGAGATGGAAAAGCCGTGGATTGTGGCAGGGGACGCATATCTTATTAGGCTATTCCAGGTCAACATGGTTAAGTTGCAATAGAGATTTTTGTTCACCCAACGTGACAGAGTCCAGTCAAGCATGAGATGCATAACCAGCTTCATGTGAGATATTTCTCAACCAGGCAAAACACATTTCAAAATCAACATAGGATGTTTGTTGGGTGGAAGAAGGTTAAGCCAAAGAAGTCACAATTCGGCACTAGGTTTTATATATACCTCCAACCTATAGCCAGTACGAGATCTGTCAATGAGCTCAAGTGACCCGACATTGTGTTACACACTGCATGCATGCATTATGAGTTCCTTACGGTGTCCTGAGGCATGGCTGAAAACCATGCTCACGTAAACCAGGGAAAGAGTGATGTTGAAGTATCAAAGCAAGAGTGCATAAAGGCACAAACCACTTGTTTGGCTGCTTATGCTTGCATTGCAGCCCCTCTCATTAGTCATAGCCAAGGGCAGGCCCCAGTTCACCCTTAAAATTGATAAACTGAGGGGTGAATCCACGTTTTGAACAAGCCTAGGATCAAGCTAGTCAAACCCCGCGTTAGGAAGATTATGACAAC